AGAGTAGACAACTGGGTATAGACAAAAAATCTTCAAATATATACAGGTGTACACACTATTTATATTTCTCCATTTCAAAACAAAACTTTTATCATCACTAACAAGAGATCCTGAGGTCAATAACACAAAATCAACTTGCTTACTAAATTACATGTAACTTTCAATTCCCTCTCTCCCTCCCTTCCTCCTTCATTTCCTCCCTCTCTTCCTTGTTACAGGACTTCCTTTTTTTAGCCCAAGCTGGCCTTGAATTCACCATCCTCCTGCTATTACCTCTGAAGTGTTAGGATTACATGTATGGTGATACATACAACCACACCTAACTCCAATTACAAAGGCCACTGAAACCCAAAATAAATAGCATACCATTCAAAAAAAAAGATTATCATATTATCCTTAATTTGTATCAGTACTCCATTGCACAAAAGCTTATCTTTCTTCCAACAATAAATAAAACAGGTAAAAGTAAAAAGAGACCAAAATGGCAAATTTTGCCTACTGGAGAAATAGAAACATAAATGATGAGAATGCTTCATGTTACTTTCATACTAATATTTATATCCACATGTTGCTCCCAAAGCAGTCATTTTATGACAGGTAAAATCCCAGATGTAAGCAAAGTATGAGGTGTGTGTGTGTGTGTGTGTGTGTGTGTTCTGTTTTGTTTTTGCAGCAGTAGTGACAGAACTCAAGGCCTCTCATTTGCTAGGTTCTACAACTGCCCATTTCGCATTGGTTAAAATTTTGGGAGATAGGATCTGATTTTATGCCCTGGCCTACCTGGACTGCAATTCTCCTATTTGTGCTTCCCCTGTAACTTGGATAACAAGTGTGTACTACCATGCCCAACTACTGGCTAATATGGAGGTCTCCTGAACTATTTTCGGGCCATGCCTCAAATCACAATCCTTTAATCTCTGTTCCCTAGTAGCTATGATTATAGGCTTGAGCCACTGCAACAGCTCAAATGTTCCATGTTTGAACTGAGCTTCTCCATTTCCATACAACGTACTGATAAAACTATATTTCTGGCAAAAAAGAAACACATATTTAAATAGTTTTGAATCTTTAATCTTCTCCAATCAAGCCTCCATATTCTCAGAATTTTTCCTTAAAATTCACACATAATCAATATTTTCATTGAAGATTCTATTTAAGTCTTCAAGAAGTTTGCCAGCTTAAGATATTTTGTCTAGCTCAGTTGCTGAAATTATCATTCACTCCTTATCATTCACAGACTGAATCAAAACTTCTCCTAAATACACTGATCTCCAATCAACTATCCTGACATGAAGAGAAACAGAGGAGCAAGATGAAATGGTAAGTGATTAAAAATAACTATCTCTTCACTGATCATTAACCTGACTTTCAGTTTCTGTTTTTTAATACCCATCACCAAATTATTTTGAACTATTTAGAATCATTCATTAGTAGCATAATCATAAATTCTTGTTTTTATAAGAAGCTGTTCAATAGCTCAGTAAATAAACTTTCAAACAACACAGAAAACAATTTTAATTATCAAAGAAATTTCTTGTGTTTTGGGGGGTTTTGCACTATTGAGGATTGAACCCAGGGCTTCCTCAAGCGTGCCAGCCAAGCGCTCTACTACTTAAGCCATGCTCTCCAGTTCCCAGATGTCCTATTTAGGCATACTTCCAATGAGATTATTCTACTAACAAGAATAAGAAATCCAATTTTTGCTTTCTATAGCTCTATTTAATATCCCAAATGCATCATTCTAATTTGCCTTTGAATAATAGTCTGTCATCCATAAACGCAGTATGTTTTTCATTTAACAAGAACCCGAAGCTACAAAGGAAATTGAATTCTAGAAGTGGACAATTAATTTGACAGTATTTGAATGAGTATGTCAAAATCAAAAACTAAGTAAGAAACCGAAACCATAAAATGTTAGGAAAAGGAAAACTTAATTTAATTTCCATGGTCTAATAAAAGATCTTCTTAGCAGAGAGCAAATTCATTTCCGTTTTTGAGACAAGAAAAAAAAGATAATGTACTTGTTTCTATAAAAAGAACCTCTAGAACATATGACTTATACATAATTCAGAGTTCAACAAATTTCAGTTGGCTTTTTTTTGGGCTCAGGTAAGGAAGGCTTCACAGAGTAGGCAGTACAACAGTAATAACAGGAAGGAAGGGGCCTCATAATTTTCTATGCCTCACAACTATCAGGCTTTTTATATTTCTAGGGAAATGGAGAAGGAAATAAACTTCATATTAGCATCTTCCTTAGGAATTGAAGTATGTAGTAATCAAAAATTTGGTAATCAAAAATTAGGTAATCAAAAATTATATAGTCAAAATCTATAAACCTAAAGAAACTCTAAATGCCCCATTCTCCTTTTTGTTAAGTACTAATATATCATGGCACAAAGCTTAATATGTTAACTCATTTTACTATAAAACTATTTTATGGACAACTGTGGAGAAATTACCCACATAAAAATATGTTCTAATTTTAAAAGTCCATTGTCTGATAACATAAATATTCTCTGTAGAAATAGCATTTTTTATAATAGCTATTCAATTGAGATATGATGGCATTTCATTGTGGTTTTGATTTGCATTTCCAGATAATTAGTTTTATTGTGTATTTTCTCACATACTTCTTGGCCATTTGTATATGTTCCTTCAAGAAATGTCTGTGCAAGTCCATCTATCATTTTTAATAATTATTATTTTGCTGTTGAGTTCCTTTTGTTCTATACATTATCAATCTAGAATAGTTAGTATTTTCTCCCATTCTATAGGGTGCCTCTTCAACTCTATTGATTCTTTGCTATATAGAAGATTAATAGTTTGATATAATCTCATTTGCCAATTTTTGCCAAGTATTCTGTTTGTTTTGTTTTGTTTTTGCTGGTCGTGGACCGGAACTCTGGGCCTAGGCGCTGTCCCTCAGCTCTTCAGCTCAAGGGGAGTGCTCTACCGCTTGAGCCACAGTGCCACTTCCAGTTTTTTCTGTTTATGTGGTGCTGAGGAATAGAACCGAGGGCCTCATGCATGCAAGGCAAGCACTCTACCACTGAGCCACCTTCCCAGCCCTTGCCAAGTACTCTGATTCACTCTGTATATGTATTTATTTACTTACTTCTTGTCCCTCTCAAGTGTGATTTCTTAAAGTTCTAGTCTAGAAATCATTATCCCTTAAAATTATGTCACTATGTTAAGTAGGTCTTACTACTACTGGTTTAGAAATCAGTCTCCCTCAAAATCATGTCAGTGTATCATTAAGTGGGTCCTCACTATTACTACTCATACCCATTCCTGCAATTTCAAAGTTATAAGACCATATTTTAAATCTTAATAGATGTTATTTGATTGATTAAAACAACCATGTGGTAGTTTTCATTTTTGTAAATATTGGGAAATAAGGGCATTGGAGATCTTTTAAATGTACAAGTGATTGTCTCATTTTATAACTACAGACACATAGAAACAAATAGCCATATTGTTATTACCTGACAACTAAAGTACAGAACTTGGTGTATTATGATCTGTGTGCCCAGGTACAAGCTCCTGGTACCAATTTTCCTGCTTCCTGTTTTTCTTCCACACTGTTGCCATGGTACCTTGCAGATTTATCAAGTACAAATCAATCACGTTATTTCTCTGCCTTTTTAAGTCTTTCAGAGGCACCCACAAGTTTTACAAGATTTATGGATGATTTAGTTCATGACAGCCTCATCTCCCTCCCCCCCCTTCTCACATCCTCTCCAGCCATTCAGTTTTTCTGAGTTGTCTAAATGCCTTGCTATCCCTGGCCTCCTTCCTGCACACATGAGGCTAATTACCTTTTCCCTCTGCTTTCTTCTTACAAGGCAGAATTAAGTATTAGCACTTCAAATCCTTTGCATCTCTCTGGTTTGATATGGCAAACGACTGACATATATGTCTCTACCAAAAACCCTAACCTCCTACAGAACACAAACTACCAACCTTAATTGGTTTGTCGCATCAATGATTGGCACAGAGTAAAGGTTTATTCATGGACACTTCTGAGTTGATTACCTCCTAATATGTTTATTGACAGGCCCAGACTGGCCTCGAACCCACAATCCTCCTGCCTGAACCTCCTGAGTGCCTAAGATATCTGCTGCGTTTTGGAAGAGAATAGTGTTGTGTTTTGTTTTAGTGGGCCTGATGGCATTATTACAAAGCACAAATGTGCTTCAGATTGGTAATGCAAAAAATAAATAACAAGAAACATATCCTTGCAAAAGGAGACGGCTAGGGAATTCTGAGAAAGTTGCACACATCTACTAACCCAGCACTGGGCTTACCATTTAGTAGTCAAGAAGCAGTAGAAGGCCTCTAACCTCAATAAAAGCATATTAACTTTTCTTAAGTCATGTCGTTAATTTCGAATCTCTTCCTAAGAGGTGTTTTTTTTTTTTTTTTTAATTTGGGACTTCATTCACCATCTTAAGAGTCCCTTTTTACTCATCAAGCAGGCACTAATTCTTTACATCTGAATGAAAGACAGGGTTCGGGGGAGGGAGGATGTGTGGGGGGGGGGATGATAAACATTTCTGGTAGGGTAGGCGGCAAAAGCCACAGCGGCAGGGATGGCGCACGAGGGGGCGCCGGGGCAATAACAGGGTGAGAGGGCTGACATCGGGCATGGGTCACCGAGCAAGTAGCAGGGGACGGTGGACAGCGGG